TACAGGCGATTTATGACATAAACAGCAGTATTTAGGGCTTCAACCCAAAACTTTGGAGGAAGTTTCTTACTAAGGAGTATGACCCTAGCCATTTCTTGAACAACTTTGCTCTTCTTCTCAACCACTCCATTTTGTTGTGGAGTAATAGGTGCAGAAAATTCATGCTCAATTTCATGCATATCACAAAAATCTGAAAACGAACTGTTTTCAAATTCACGACCATGATCAGTTCGGATTCTTATGATACGCCCAATGAAAACACCCTGTTCATTTTGAATTTTAAGGACTAAGGCCTAGAAAGCATTAAACGTATCAGATTTTTCCCTTAAAAAATTTACCCATGAAAATCGGGTAAAATCATCAACAGTTAAAAAAATATATCTTTTACCTCCAATGCTTTTAGTGCGAGTAGGACCCATTAAATCCATGTGAACCAATTCAAGAGGACGTTTGGTTGTAAAGCTGTTCACCTTTTTGTGAGGGGCACGATTCTACTTTCCAAGTTGACATGGTCCACACACATGGTTCAGATTCTTACTCAGTTTAGGTACTCCTCTCACAAGCTCTTTGTTAGCTATCTTAGTTAGGTCTTTGAAATTCATGTGACCTAATCTTTGATGCCACAAATCAATGTTACTCATGATGGCAGAGTGACCAGTGAGATCATTAGTAGTAACAATCCCATAGCAGTTATCAGATGTGCGAATCCCATGCAAGACAGTGTTTCTCTTTTTATCCAAAATTTCACATTTATTTTTTTGAAAATAATACTTCATGATGGGAATCACACACTTGACTAATGCTCAAAAGATGTGCTTTAAGACCATCAACAAGTAAGGCATTTCAAGCTTGGGAAGACCAACAACACTTATAGAGCCCTTACTAATGACTCTAGAAGTGCCGCCATCTCCGAAGGGAATAATTCCTCCTTCATATTTTTCAAGGGAGGTAAAGTAGGATTTGTTACCGGACATGTGACAAGAGCACCCACTATCAAGATACCACATGTGTGAGTCATGTGCTTTTAGAGTAGTGTGAACAACTAAACAAGTCAAGTCATCTTTTCTCACCCAAATCTTTTTGGTCTTAACAAAATCAGATCTAGTGGTCTTGGTAAATGTCTTGGCGTTGTGAACACCCTCATGAAACTTGGTATTCCGCCTAGACATGTAAGGTTGTCTCTTAACCCAAAAAGTATTCGAATTTCTACCATTTTGAGAAACCTTACCAAACAATTCAAAGCAATAAGGACGAATGTGGCCATACCTACCACAGTGATGACAAATAAAAACATGTTTTACTTTCCTTTTGACGATCTTACCCCCTTAAGGTAGATGAAGAGAGGGATCAGCCTGGTCTACCTTCAGCTTTCCCTTTGCTTGAGTCTTCAGGTCATGTGAAGTAAAGGCCTGTCCCGTGTGAGCTGTTGTACCATAGCCTAGACCACTTTTGTCACAACCCATTTGTTGAGACCCGAGGATGTCTTCTAAAGATTTGGAACCTTTGTTCCACATGGCAATAGTGGCTCTAACAATACGGAGTTCTTCATCTTTCTGACAGATTATCTCTTCCAATGTAGCTTGTGACATCTCGAGGCTTTCAAGCTTCTCTTCATATGTGGAATACACCTTTAGAAGTTCATTCCTTTCAGTTTCACAGGATAGAAGTTTTCCACATAAGTCTTGTCTGTCACTTGAGATCTTGATGATATTCTACTTTGCTGCTACAAGTTCTCCTTTCAGCTTGACATTCTCACTTTCACATGCTTTGAGTTTGAGATAGAGAGTTTGTCATTAATTTTGGACAAATTTAGAGATTCCTCGTAAAACTTTCGTAAGCTTGTTGCAGTTCATCACCATTAATCTCATCATTGTCTTCTGATGTTCCATCATCCTCTTTTTGCTTTTCATTCTCCTTGACCTCATCCAATCTAGCAACTAAGGCAGGAAAGTTGCTGGATGGTGGTGAAAGTGAATCTCCTCTTTCATGAAATTGGCTCAGAATTTCCCGTGCATCTTTAGCCTTTGTGCAATGAGCAACCCGTTGCTTTTCTTCATCAGAAATTGCTCTACAAATAGTAATTAGGGCTCTCTGATTGCTCGAATTGTCAGCACTTTTTGTATTTTCTTCAATGGCCTGCCAGCCTTCTGGATCAAAAGCTCTCAGAAAAGCCCTCATTCTGATCTTCCAATATAGGTAGTTACTCCCATCAAAGGTTCTGACCACGAGCTATCTCCGCTGGCTTTGGAAGAGGTTGAGTGAAAGTGGACCAAAATGCCATGAAAGCACTATCCCCGTCTTCTCCAGATTCAGGTTCTTCGGGTTCTTGCTCTGACCTACTTTCATCATCCCAAGTCATAGTGTAGACTTTCTTTCGATTCTTTTTCGAAGGGCATTCAAGGGCAATGTGACCAAACCCTTGACATTCATAGCACTTGACCCCTTGCCCCTTTACAATTTTCTTTTCAGTTTTTGGAGCAAGTTTTGGTGGAAAAGTTTTGGCTTTTTCATTACTTTTGTCTTTTGAAATAGGGTCTCTGAAATTAGGCTTCTTTTTCTTCAAATTTTTTTTAAACTGTTTAGTAAACATAGTCGTCATCTCAGACTCTAAATCAAATTCAGTCTCCGGGGTTTTTGCAGTCTCATGAGCACTAGTGAAAGCCACACTTTCTTTTTGTTTTTTCTTTGACATCTGGTGGGCTTCATAAGTCTGCAGGTTTCCAACCAACTGATCAAGCTTGAGGGTATCAACATTCTGAGCCTCCTCAATGGCTGTCACTTTTGATTGGAACCTCTCGTGTAATGACCTCAAAATTTTTCCAACAACTTTAGCTTCTGGGATTTTTTCACCGAGTGTGAAACATGAATTCACGATATCACTGAGTTTTGCATAGAAATCATCAAACGTCTCATCATCGCGCATAAAAAGGGTTTCAAAAGCGGAGGTGAGCGGAGGTGAGACGTTGAAGTTTTGACCTTTTGACAGAAGTAGTACCTTCGTGAATCGTTTCGAAAATGTCCCAAGCCTCTTTTGCTACCTCACACGTGCAGATACGACGAAACTCTTCAGGTGTGATGGAGCAAACAGGCAATTGAGAGCCTTACTGTTCCAACTTGAGTTTTGGTAATCAGTTGTGTCCCATTTATCAAGGGATTTAGGAATATCAACACCATCAATGGTGACAGTAGGTTCACTCCACCCACAGATCACGCTGTGCCAAACTTTCTCATCGATGGATTTTAAAAATGCTCTCATATGAGCTTTTCAATAAGAATAGTTTGTACCATCGAGTAAAGGAGGTCTATGGGTCGAGTTACCTTCACGAATAGAATCCATATCACTAGTCACACAAAATCACACTCCTATATTTTTTAAAAAAAACAAAAAGTGACCTGCTCTGATACCAATTGAAAATCCTAAGTGATTCGTGATTAGATCAAGATTAAAATATTCCAAATCCCAATTATTCAAAACACGCAATCTAAATCATCAAGCACTTACGAAAGTGATTTAGATTGTTGTTTTTTTTGAATAAATAATAAATCGACACAAACGATTTTTACGTGGAAAAAATCACAATTGAAGAACCTTCAATTGTAATAAATAACTACGGGCGAAACGCCACTAATCAATCCACTACTGAAAAAAGAAAGATTACAAAGATAACACACAAATTACCTAACTCAGTCAATTTGTATTCGAATCTTCTGTAACTCTTTCACCACGCCTTCGTCTCGGAACTGATCAATCCTGAAGTTGAATCCACAACTTCACTTGTCGAATTAACGACTATGTACAGAATCAAACGCCTTTTGAAACTCTACGCTTGAATCTTCGGAATCCACCGAAGAATAACACTCTTGTATGTATATGAACAATCTCCTTGATATGTGCTTCTCAAATCATGAGTTGAATACTCATTCAATTTTATCAAGGAAAACTCACAAAAATCTCTAGAAGAAAACCTCAAACAAAACCCTAAAAAACCTTAAACAAGATCTAGGAGAAGTAATCCTAAAACAAACCCAACATGCGAATTTATAGAACCTGAGATCGCGTGGTCCGCTCGAGCATGGGAATTCCCGCTCGAGCGGAGACTACATATTCCGCAATTCATACAAGGTCCACGCTCGAGCGGAAGTTTCCACGCCCGAGCGTGGAATCCTACTATCCAGTATTTTTGCAGGCATGAAAGAGATACTGGGAGGGTGAAAACCCCGCTCGAGCGTCACGTTCCCTGCTCGAGCGGGAAGACCAAAACAAGAAAATCTGGAAAATAAGAAATTGTTACAACCTTGGTTTTGTTCCATGGTTTGACAACAAAGGGTCCTAACACTTTTTTTGTTCCTAGAAATGCATTCCATCAATGTCTGCTCAATATCGCAATGTTGTGAGATTTTGAAATAACAATACTAAAAACTTTAGAAAAAAAATATTCATAAAATTATCTAAAAGAAGTAATAAATGTTCTACATTCATTGTAGATATAGCCCATATTCTACAAAACTGAGTTTTTACGGCTCCATATTAATGACATACAGTAAATGCAAGCTGTGATTTCTCACTTCTACGACTTGCTTTTTTTGCATGTCGTAAATAATTTCCCAATCACGACGTGCCTATTGCGTAGGCCGTGAATGCTAATAATGATGATTTTTTTACGACTTGCAATATTAGCTGTAAAAAAAAAAACTTTTTACGACGTGCATTTGGCATGCCGTTAATACATCAACTATGCAATACATACGTACACCAGCCGTTAAAAATATTGAACATTTCACGGCGCACAAAAAGTCAACCGTTAAAAATATTACACTTTTTACGACGCACAAAAAGTTAACGGTTAAAAAGTACACTTTCCACGACATATTTATACATGCCGTTAAAAATATTTACTTTTTATGACATGCAATTTCTATCGTGAATAGTATGACCAAAATAAAAATAGGTGCCAAAATAAAATTTTTGAGCGCCAAAAAAAAAAATCAAAATCAAAAACTCCAACTCTTCAACTCCAAAACCCTAACCTCCTACTCATCATCAAAAAGAAAACCTAACTCTTCAAACCCATACACGGTTACACTTCCTCTCTTTCCCCTCTGCCTCCGACACCACCGCCACTGCTACTGTGACTGTTGGGCCGCCGCCATCACCTCTATTACTGACCTCTCTCTCTCTCTCTCTCTCTCTCTCTCTCTTCTCGGCCTATTGCTTTAGGACATCAATTTGCTTCCGGCGGCTTACTTCCCTCTACATTTTTTTCTCTCTTCATCTTCTCTTTCCTCACCAGATCGATGACAATCTCCCCGCCCTTTACTCCTCTTCCATGGCCGTCGCCGTCTTCACCCTCACATCCACCGCACACCACCACCACCATCGTCTTCACCATCTTCGTGCCATTCTCGGATGACGACGATATGAGATGTGAAGGCTTCATATCTGCTGGATTTATGGTAGATCTAAGATGTGAGGGCTCTTCCTCCGCTGCTACAACCACCGAACCAACGACCAATCGATCCAAGAACGGGTATGTCGATTCATGTTTCCCTCTGTATTAATTCCTTGGCGATTCCCAAAAGTCTGGAGCCTATCTTGTTTGGTACTTGAGAAAATTGAGGGGGGAAAATTGGAAAATGGAAAATGAAAAAGAAATCTTTGAATCTCGTGGTTCTTATGATTTACTAAAAATCGGTTTTTGAAAAAACATGGGCCGAATACCTGGGTTGGTTTCAGTTTAGTTGAGTTTATGGAGAAATGTTAGGATTTTTTTTTGTTTAATTTATTGTTGATTCATGTTGGTAGCAACCAAACTGAGCATAAGGGGTTAGTGTATTTGATTGGATTTGTTAATTGGAATATGATGGTGATTTTCAAAAGGAAATGCAGAGTATAGGGGAGGGTAAATTGGTGGCTTGTGAAAATCATCATGGAATTTGTGCCATCTGTTTGAATAAGATAGTTCTTCAAGAAACTGCTCTTTTGAAAGGTTGCGAGCACGCCTACTGGTTTGTCTGAATCACGTGTCAATTTATTTACCATTCATTCTCAATTGAATATATATATATATATATATATATGGCTTGATTGATTGATTGGCGATACTTTGTTTATGTAGCTACTTTTATGTGTTTTTCATTCTCAGATTACTGTATTGGTTGTCATGAATTGTATATAATAAATAGAACATTTCTACTACAAAATGTAATTGAAAGAAAAGATTGTTGTTCTTTCTGTAGTGCTCTAATGATTATATTTGATCTGGATGGGTAAAGAACATGATTAATTGAGTGCAAGGAGGATATGTTTCTGACCCCTATTGGAGATTTATTTGAAATGTCAAATCCTGTTCGAGATAGTATATTATAATGATGAAGAAAGCTGAAATGGTTTGGTTGAAAAAATATAGAGGTTTGGTACTGATTTAACAACCTAGCTATTGGTAATATTGAAGTATAGAACTCGGTGGCAACTAATGCGTTTATGGTGAAAGAAGAAATATGCTAGCAATAGGGATTGCTTTAAATGATGGTGATTGATATGTAGAGAAATTAAAACAAAATACTAATTAATACAAAAAATACTGTGGAAGAATTATTATTATCTGAAGCTAGCTGTTGAGATAATGATGCACATAATGTGGATGGAAAATGCATCTGAATAGAAACAGATACACTTGAAAATTTTGAAATATTATTAACTAGCTACAAGGAACAATTTCCCTTCATTTATAGTAGCTAGAAGGTATTTCAATTTTCAATCTTGAAATATTGAACATGATCGAGTAGTTGTATAATTCTTAATCAACTTCCTTTTGACAATTCCATTTTTTTAAATTAGAAAAAAAAAAGGGTTATATAACTATAAGCAATCCAAAATTTATAGGCTTCTAATTCTAAATAAGATGTTTAGATATTATGATTGAAAAATGGGCAGTAGCTAGAATTGAATTTTTCCTGCAGGTTGCAGCTGGAGCCTCAATTACCTAATTAGGTGGAATTATGTGACATCAAGGCATCAATAAAGCAACATAAATGGGTGAAAGCCAAAGATAAATGATACTGCAAGTCATGATGCCCCATCTAGAGAAGGAATGTACAATTATAAATTGGTATACGCGTGAGTCATAGTTTCCCATTTTTCTTTGTTTTTCATTATTGTCGGTGTACTGAATATCTTGAGGTGAACTATTATTTTTCAAGCCATGTTGGAGCTATTATGTTCAGCAAAATTAGTTGTAGAGAAGGGGATTGCTCAAGGTCGTAATGGGTCTTATATTAAGCAGTTATCTGACTACATTGTTCTAGCTTTTGGTGGAAGCTTTGCATAAGGTGTAGTTTGTTGTTAAATAATTATGTTGTGTGGTGACATAATTCTTGTCACTATATGCTTCTAATTTGAGAACTAAAGTTTTTTAATGGGCATCATATTGCAGGAGCCTGATACAGAAATATGTGAAAGCATGTTGGATGCATTGAATAATGCATACAGGTTTTCCATTTTTATACTGTGGTTATTTCAAATAATTTATTTGCTATAAATGGAAAACATATAGATTCCATGCTATTGTATATTTGAGATCATTTTCTGTGTCAAATCTAATGAAATGGTTTTCATTTTACAATTGGATCATAGACTCTTATTTTTATCTTTTTTTAATAGAAAATGATTTCGTAATTCAATGCAATTCATTTGTGAAGTTGAAGTTGAATGGATCAGCAATGATCCAGACCATAAGAGTTCTTACCACAATCTGGTAATCCAATGGATTACTATGAATTCAATATGAATATGGCTCTATTAATTAATGGATTCTTGTTCTGAAAATTTGATTAAATCTATAAAATTGGTGACACGCTATATACAGTTTCACAATTCTGGAACCTGAAGTTTAGAACTTTAACAAATTAATAATTTCATGAGGGCAAGGATGAAGAGATTTTGAAAACCCCAAATAAAGTCCCCATAGCTGTACTACCTTTTATTCATCAAAAGTTCATTTGGATAAGAGCTAAATAAATAGTCTTTGGTTGGCTTGTCTTGGCTCAACTTGGCTAGTTTTCATTGTTAAAACTTGCTGCTGATTTCCATCGAAGCTGAAGACTTCAATTCTGAGGAGTGGGAAATACTAAGAGAGGAAAATGAGCAAGAGGAAGAAGTTTTATTTGATCAAGTTTGTCTTCCACTAATCATTTTTTAGTGTCATGGATCACATGTTCATCTTTTTATTATATGGTTCTAATAAAATTTAATTTCATTTTTTGCCTCACAAATGGATTTCCTGATTCAGGTAGGTGAAATCATGGGAACTTTGATAAAAACATTCAAGGCCTCTTTCTTGCCTTTATTTGATGAGCTGTCATCATATATTACGCCTATGTCGGTAAGTTCTACTTCAAGATACCCATTCATCGCTACTAGAAAAGTGACTTTTTGCGACTAATTTTTTGCGACTGATGATTTGACCGTCGCAAAAATTAATATATGCAATTCCAACCTTGATACTCTTTTCTATTATTTATTTTTCTCTTTTCTTATACATATGCCCTAACGGAGACTGATTTCCACTAGACTCTCATTTCCCCCAAATCTGATTTCACTCGATCGTGTCTGAGTAAGAGAATCTGATTTCCTTCTCTCAATTTCGCTCTATAGATCACCATGGTCGTCTAAAGAAGAGACCTCCAACGGTATGAACTCTCTCTCTCTCACTCTCTCTCGCTCTCTCTCTCATCTCAGTTCGTCTCTTCAAATAATTCATTCGTATTTTAACTTCTTCGTCTCTCTATAGTTCACCTTTCGATGAAGCTTTGGTTTGAATCAATAGCTTTGGTTTGAATCAATCCTTCGTCATCTGCTACGAAAATTACGAAAATGATGAACATGCTCTAAACTTGCTTGATTTCAGTTCTGAATTTGAATTATTATTGTTATTTTTTGTCATGTTAGATTGGAGCATGTGCATGGATTTTAGCTTATAGTCGTATTTTGGTGAATTTTAGATGTGCTTTGTAGAAGACTATAGAATTTGATCTAAGCATTGGTTTTTTTGTGCTGCGAAAATGATGAAGGTGTAATTTCTATATCCAAATTTCTGTCATCTCTTATGTAATTTGTGAAAGAACAGCTTATACTAATAGAAAACCAGGAAGCAGAGAAGAATAAGAAAGATAGAAAAGTGAAGAACTAGATTTTATTATTAATTTCTTGAGAGAGAAAACAATACAACCCAGGTTTTATGTATTCTGACCTTATAGATTTAGACCTTATAGTGTTCGATAAATAACAAGATTGAATAGATTATATAGTTGTTCAGAACTTATCAATTTCGCCATTTAATTTCAATATTCTCTCTCTAATCAAGAAAACTGAACCCTAGCTTTCTGTGTGTAATGGAGTTTGATCCATTGGCGATTTATGTATGGAGTTTGATCCATTAGTGATTTATGTATGGTTCTATGTTTTCTACACTAATATGTCATTATAGATTGCTACTTATCTACTTCAATTTAATTTTTTCCCCATTTTAATGAAATAAGAAATTCTTAGCCTACTTGAAATGGCCTCTGGTAGATGCTTAGTTCACATTGATGATGTGTTAGTGATGTCATATATATTCAAGTTTAGGTTCCTAACTACTATAAAGTTAGATATTGGATATTTCCATTGGTAGTGTTCTTGCTTGAAGTCTATTTTACTTTAAGTATTGCTTAGGGTGCTGCTCGTGCTCTGTCACAGTTATACACAAATGATGAATTTTCAGAATTCTATTAAACCTAAACTCATTTTAATAAGGCATTTTTCCAATTTTGTAAGACAAAAAATAAAGTTTGGCCTTTGTTTTTGTATGAAATTGAACACAATTGAAGAAGTAATTTTGAAATTGGAAGGGCTGTATGAAATTGATATGAGAATAGTATTTAAGATAGTTATTGATGACTTTATAATATAATTACATTTGTGTTTGGAAACTGCTATAAAAAGGTGGGAGTTGTTTTCTCATTGGGTAGCTGCAATGGCCGTGCAAAACAACTTCATGCTTCTCCTAAAGGTTCCTCTTCTATATTTCCCCCTTTCTTATTCTCATGATTTTGGAACTGGAGTGGTTAGTGATTATTTGCAGACAGAGCTAGCATAATCTTTTGATAACTTTCCAAATTATGCAGCTTGTGTTTAAGCTCCAGATAATAATTATTTTCATAGGTTACACTGCAAGGTTTTGACCCCACTTTAACAGAATTTTTTTTGCCTGACTGCATTTTTACCTGTTCTGGATTTGAATCAGTTAAAATATATGAACCTTCGGGAAAGAGTGAGTAAAGAGGGGCTCAAGTTAATTCCATTTTTAAATTTTATCATTCTGTTGTATGCAGAATCGAAGGATGTATGAGCTTGTCTCCCTGTCTACCATCCTTAAATTAAAAAGGCTTTCGGCTACTGCAGAACCCTACAAAGTACGAACACTCACTTGCATACTAATTTCCTTCCAAACCAATTTAACTGATTCATGAGTGACATGTTTGATTAAAGGAAAACTCTTTTCATAAATTTACCTATTGGCATACTTTTGTTTGTGTTTTTTAAAGATGTTAAAAATTTAACATGCAATGTTCGCCCTTATCTTTTATTGCATCTTACCTTTCTAATCTATATCTGTCGTGTATTTTTTGTCTTGCACTTTAATGCACTAAATGCAGTGTAACGCCCTTAAAATAACAACATTAAACCCATCAATAAAGATATACATTGATATGTAAAAGTTCCACATTCTTCCATTTATCAGAGTTCCATTACAAAAGTATTACATGTTAACAACAAAAGCAAATGCCCTATGGGCTTACAGCTTTCCAAGTTAACACTTGGTTACAACAAAAGAGTACTAACTCATTTACACATTAAGCCCTTGGCTTGAATTTACATGTAATACATAAAAAAAAAAACGACAAAAGTATGTCCGCCTCTAGCCTCCCAAGCTATGTCCTTGGAGGTGGCATACTACCTGTACTTGAAAATGATATTCCCATATAGGGTGAGCCACAACCCAGTAGAAATACACTAAACCAACCATGAACAATGACTAAAAGATTAGCAATTGATAGATGGCCAACACTGAAACATTCACATAAATCTCATTTTATGTCATCCGACTCATAAGTCCAAGTTACTTTTCATTTTCCCCTTTTTAACAGATAAGCATGTTAGCTCTATCATCATTCCAACAGATATGTATAAAAACTATATCCCACATTCACAGATAAGCATATAAGCTATATCCACATTCTCAACAGATATGTATAACGACAATATCCCACATTCACAGATAAGCATATAAGCTATATCCACATTCTCAACAGATATGTATAACGACAATATCCCACATTAAGCGTAAAAGCTATATCCACATTCTACAACAGATATGTATAACAACAATATCCACAGATAAGCGTAAAAGCTATATCCACATTCTACAACAGATATGTATAACAACAATATCCACAGATAAGCGTAAAAGCTATATCCACATTCTACAACAGATATGTATAACAACAATATCCACAGATAAGCGTAAAAGCTATATCCACATTCTACAACAGATATGTATAACAACAATATCCACATTCACAGATAAGCATATAAGCTATATCCACATTCTACAAAGATAAGCATATGAGCTCTATCTTCACTTCTCTAG